AAAAAATTTTAAAGGGTTAATTTTTTTTGGGTTTTTTTTTTTTTTTTTTTTTTTGGAAGGGCGGGGTTAGCAAATATACAAATGTAAAACCATCTCCTACACAACACAAAGCTTTTGTACTGCCAGTCACTAACTTACTGTGGCATAGTGCCTTGCTAATCAGTACATTTGCAGAGCCTTAAGCTTTCTAAAGTAATATAAACTCTCCATTTGTGTCCAAAGAGAGGGGAAACCGTTGGCCGCAGCAGGCAAATTAAACACATGCTGCACTCCTAGTTGAAACCACAATACAGGCACACAAAGGCCACAGAAAGCAATGTAATATTGTTGGACATTGCTTTTAGACGCATAGCGTGCCAACAGCAAATAGGTGGGTGTTAGCAAGAATTAGATCAGCTGATCTGATAGCCTGAAGAGCGCATTTCATTAGGCTCATTTACTGTATAAGACTGTGAGCGTAGGAGAATAAATAGACTTTTAACCGTGAGGTCTTTGGGTTCTCCGGTTTAAAAAAGCCTCTTTTTCTCTTTTATCAGTGTGCAGTGTCGACACCTGGCCTGTTGGCTTTAATGTCAGATGAAAGGAAATGTATCATACCTGTCAAGTCACAGGAAGAACAAGGGAACTCCTTTTAGAAAAATTCAAACCAGAACCTAGTGTGCCTGTGTTGTGGTTTCTTGCTGCAAGGCAACAGTTTGTTTCTTTGTTTATTTTTTTGAATATGTGCAAAAAAATACCAACAGCAAGCACAAGGTCAGATCTTTTATTTTACATATTTAAGGAAGTGCAAAGTTATCAATATTCCCGCTCCAAATCCATCCACGTAATCGTGCATTTATTACATGTACAACCCATAATATCACTGAACCCTTTTTTAATAGTTAACCCATGACTACAGTATCTGTTTGACTTTAATTACAGTGGATGAACAATTATTTCTTTCGATTTCACAAAAAAAAAAAAAAAACTAGCATGTGATTGTTTGAACAGTTTTTGTCTGCCAACTGTGAAACCCGCAGGAGAGAGGATCAAAGAGTGTTAAATTAATGCTAAATATTTAACCGGCTCAGCAGTTACAAAGAGGGCAGCGACCTAACACGGCAGAGAGGAAATTACAGCTCACCTGTTGACGTGCAAGCAAATTCACACCTGACTGGAAAAAAGTAGATTTAACTCAATCTTTGAGGAAATACAGAACATTTTCACTCCTAAAATCTATGATCTCTGGAGAGTTTATATTTAACTTTTTATTTCATTCACTGTCTTACATCCTAACAGTCATACTAAACCTTTTCTTGCATATTGTATACTATATGATATAGTAGTATTTTAACACAGTTTTCTGCCTTATGACTATTTAATAAACCACCGAATAATTTCATCTGATTGTATTTTGTTTTTAGTACATCAAATGCTGATTGGCTGACTTCCTTGAGATCAAAGTGAAATAGTAAAAACTGTCAGTTGCTGGTTTTTATTTACACACATGCAGGTAGATACAGCCTGAAGGTATATTTGTACAAAGTACACAGGTGAGCACTTGTACAAATCCTCCAAAAAGCACCTGCTTCATGACCTCTATCTCTGTCTCTCTGAATGAAAAAAAATAAAAAAAAGGTCATTTTCTGATTCAGTCAATAAATGTGTATCTAACAGTCCAGTCTGTTCTCAAAATCTAACATCTGCATAATCATCAGCAAGCAACGTCACACAGCCCCTGCTGGACAACGTAGATAACTGCACCCTCAAAAAAAAAAAAAAGATTCTTCCTCAGTTAAAACGGCTCATAAAGACAAATGAAACTTAAAGCTGCAGGTTTCATGGTTTCATGTCTTATTTTCTGTCAGTGACTCATAGACAATTCTGACTGTTGTTTGAAACCACAGGAAGGATGTGGACATGTACTTTGCTGCTCATCTTAGATTTATGTAGCAATGCTCCAGCCTCGCTCCGCGTTCACACTTTGGATGGGGATGATGAGGGTGGAGGAGGGTGAGGGTGGGGCAAGAGGCGTAGGGAGGTGTTGATAATGTGGGTCAAGGCGGTTCATCAGATGGAGGCAGCGCAGAGAGACTCCAGATGTAAACACAACCAAATCTCTCATGTTCCTCTCTAATTAATCTCATTTGTGAAGCAACAAAGGTCAGATAAGCCAGTCACTACTGCCACTAATAACAGCAGAGGAGGAGTAAACAAATACAGGCCGCGGGCCAGATGCATGTTCCAAACGCTTGCGGCGTTTCCCACGGCGGCGTCTCGGATGTTTGGAAAACAGAGCGCAACTCCGAGCTGGCGAAGACGCCAGCTGACGATGCGACTCACTTCCATCGCTTTACGAGAGTTTTCCAGGATTCCCTCGGCTGGGATAATTCTCGGCATTGCCCCACGACTCGGAAGCGAAAGATATCTTTACCTCTCCATGAACTCATGGCCACTTGGTTACTCAGATTAGCACCTGTTCTTCAACTTTGCGTGCCGGCTAAGCTAAATGAGTATTCAGGTACATGCCAAAGAGAGAGACAGAGACAGAGAGAGGGAGTAAGCATGTGTGTGAGAAGGAAGGAGCCAACAGGATGCCAGTTGTTGGGTGTCATGCCAAACCAAGGCACCGGATGGTGGAGATTAAGCGTACTCTGGAGATCACCGGGGCAAGAGGGCAAAACTTTTAGTACAGATAAAGCTTACAAATCCCCAAACAGACTTCTCAGAAACGATGATGGGAACTTTGTTTCACCCCATCGAGGCAGACACAATAAGCGTTGAACTTTGCAGGACCTCAACTTTTCCTCCCCGTTCGCCTTTTTATCCTCCTTACTCCATGTCACCACACATAGACACAGTGGAGTTTCACTGAGGTTTCTGAAAGCTACGGCTTCAAAATCACTCAAATTTTTTCAGTCACACCATTCCTACAGTTTTGAAGCTGAGATCAGAGTTTTCAGAGTTCACCCTCAGCCATCAATCACTGTACTGGTCAACTGGCTACAAGTAAACTACTGATCCCATGTGTGTGGAGTTGGTGGAGGACCTAGGAGGTAGGCGAGACACTTTTCAGGTGATTAATTAACTTAGCAAGCTGAAACACAGAGGAAAACTCCAGAAAACACGAGAACAAACAAGAGAATCCATTGAAGAGAAGTTGAAAACAGAGTGCTGAATCTTGCCTCTGAGTACATTTACCTCGATGAACTGAAAATACACACGCACGGAAACTCTGGAGTCAGAGTAACTAAACACGGAATCAAAGTTTATTTCAACTATATTTTCTTTATACTTGCAGAGAATATCAGATTTGTTGTTTTGGGAATTTTTCTTGCCTTGTAAAATGCAGTCAAGTTGTGAGAACTACTTGACCATATGCTGATTCACTCTTGCTAAGGAAGCAGTTTCAACAATGACACCTGATGAGTTCTTTTTGTAGAGAAAAGCTATTACATCACTACTATGTTGCTGTTTATAGTTTTAAATCTCTGCGTTAATACCCTGATGCTGTGCTGTTTTTACTCAAGGTTATCATGTTGTGAGAATCTCATACAAATCGTGAAAGTTTCTCTCTGGGAAAATTAAGAGGCGAATGTCACTCGCTGCTGTTAGTTCACTTGGAAGAAAAAAAAAGAATCTAATTTTCATCATCTGCGCCTGCAGCATTTCCATTAATAAAGCAGCATTCAAGGCCAGAGGCAACTGAATACGGTCTTCAGGGACACATGAATATTTGAAGTTCATGGCGGAGCAACATGAGGAGCAGGAGGAGGAGCAAGACGGCGCGTGGATCAGAAAACAAGACTCCAAATCAGCCCCCTTTCCATTTACATGTAACAGAAGTAAACAAAGGCGCAGCTGTGATTTAAGCCAGAAAAACAGACTTTTTCTCTCATATTTATGAACCGTCTTGAACTCATGACTCATCCTTAGCAGCTTGGTAAAATGTTTATGCTGTGGAGTCTCTCACAAGCATTCCAGAAGAAGGGCGCAAAAAGAGATGGGAAAAAGATGCCCTGACAGAATATTCTCCATTAAAACAAACAACTTGAAATTAACTATTTTCATCAGCCGAAACACTCCGCACCGTCTTCTGTGCTCGCACAGCACTTCCTGTGGGGGAACCAAAAGTTCTGAGCACCACAACACAAACTTTTGAGGCACTCTTTACCTTGGAAGAAGCTTTTGACGCGGAGGTAGGAGACGGCGAGGCGCAGCACGGACAACTTGTCCAGTTTGGAGATGACGTCCGGAGGGAACGGCAACAGGCTGGCCAGGCGGTCCAGCTCGGCGTTGAGCCTGTCCCTGTGCCGCTTGGACGGGTTGCTTTTCTCGTTGGCAGAGGACGGCTTCCTGTCGACGACAAGGCGGACGGGAATAAACGTCGAGACGTGAAAGTTTGGGATCAGGCGGGTGTAAAAGACAGAAGCATTTCCTTCGGTGAACTTCTGAAGCTAAACTTAGACTTGAGAAAACAAGCCGACAAAAATGACGCATTTGGTGAACTTTACTTAAAACAGTTTTTTATCTATTTAAATGTATACCTTATGTCAGGTTTTTAACATCACAGGAAAAAAAAATACACCTGACAGCAAGTCTATCAGCTTGGACCCTGAAGCAGAAATGACTACTAACTTTGTCAATTTTTCAGCAAAACTTTTTTTCAGCAAAGTTACTGTTAGGAAATAATCTGTGTTAAATGCAAACCTAGTCTTCAGAACCCTCTTAGCATAAAAACAGGTTTATTTTTAATGACTCTTGCAGGGCAAGCACCGCAGAGTCAAGACTTGATAAAACCACACTGCGCACAAGGAAGTCTTTCCTCTCTGCCTTAAATACACCATAAAACCACATTTATTTGTCTCTTTTGACAATAGGCTTGGGGTGGGGGGGGAAAATGACTAAGAAACAGGAATCTTGCACGATAAAACCCGTTCTTCCAAGTGTTTTCCGACAGTAAAGTTAGTGTGGGAAGACTTTGTGATTTTTCCCGGTATTATCTTGAACAATTGCCGTTGGTTTGACTGGAGCATGGAGGTGCAAATTAAGTTTTTTGCTGTTGTTTTATTTTTCACTTTACCAAAATGAAAACAAAAAACAAAGGCAACCACAAAAACAGCAGAATACCATTGTGCTCGTTTCATTTTAGGAGCTGAAAATGTCCATGCAGAGAAGTGGTTTTGATGTGGCAAAGATTTCCTCTCAGATCAGCAGCAAAAGGCAGGGCCGACCATGAAAACTTTATAAATGCCACAGGCCGTTTTTTGGGGGGAGTAAAAGGGAGGGGGGGAAAATTACCACTTCCCTCTTTATTAACTTATATAACAGTTATCACTATTCATTACATCCCTTAGGATCAAATACGAGAAGTCTGCATCACATAAAGTGACGAGAAGTCACTAAAATAAGAATAAAGAAGCAAAAACCTAATTTATCAACTGTTCAGCCTCATTATCTTAAAACCATGAACTTAGACTAAAATACTTGTAAAATCTACTCTATGGTGAAGACTTAATTCATAAATATGCAACAAAAACTCCAAAAGTAATTGTGCTTAAAGTTTCTTTTTTGTTGTTCTCAAGAGTAAGCCTGAAAAATATATAAATAATTATAATAATAATAATATACGCGCACTCGCGAGCACTTATCTAATACATGCACAAGATCAAGCATGGCTCCTTAACTGTTTCTGGACGGGCTTCCTCCTCTTTCTGCCCGCGTACATGCAGTCTCCAGGTGGGATCATGATCTTGCGCTCCTTGGAGGTAACAGGTGCGCTGCGGATAAGACACGGCAAGTTAGAGCTGCTTTACGAAGCGGCTGGAGGAAGACACTTCCAGGGCATGTGCAGGATGACGGCTTCAAAAGCAGCATGTTGTTGACCATTACTACGTTTCCAAAGGTCAAGCTTTGACCCCCCTCCAGATCAAATGAGTGCATCCCCCCCCCCCCCCCCACATTATTTTGGTGTGGGGGTGTTTGTCAACGCAAAAGTTAAACTTATTTTTTTG